AAGGGGGGGAGGTAGGGAAGGGGGGAGGGCAGGACATTTTATGGGGGGTGTCTGTGTGTGGGGGGGTGGCCGGGGGAGGAAGGGGGGAGGAGGGGAAGTTAACGGTGGAGGGGAGGGAGGGAGGAGGGAGGGAGGGAGGGAGGGAGGGAGGGAAGGTCAAGTGCAAGAAACACAGATGAAGCATTGTCAGCAGGCGACTGGAAAGGGAAGAGGGGGGCGAGAAAATGGTTTGGGGGAGATGGGTTGTGTTTGGAAAGAGTGGAGGGCGGGGGGGGCTTTCAATGCCTGGTGTGTACTTGTTGTACAACAGCCTTCCCGGTTGTTGGTCATTGACTCTTGCACGTGATGTACGATGCAACTGACGTTTACCCTGACTCTTTCCGCGTATGTAAGGTCGCCTCCCCTTTCCCCCCTGAACCCCCTCCTCCCCTTCAACTCCCTTCACCTATCCGTCTAATTTTGGAGTATGCGTCTTTGGTGTATTTTCTTTTCTTTTCGTCGATATCGTGTGTGTTTTGTCGTACACCCCCCCTCTCAACCCTTCGCTCCTGCCTGCGGCCGCCTTGGCGGAACCCCAAAACCCCCATCTGGTGTGGTGCGAGCTTCCAGATGCTTCTGGACGACGAGCGACCCGAGGGTCGGGCGCTGAGGAGCATGTTGCAGCACCTGTGTTTTCAAGTGGGTGGGGACTTGGGAGGCGGCCAGCGGGGGAAAGGGGGAAGGCGGGAGGCAAGGAGAAAAATTTGGTGAGAGGAGGAGCTGAAAGGGGAAAAACAAACGCGAGGGGGCTTTATATATCATTTATATATAAATATAATATATATGTATATGTATATATATATATATTACATAATATATGGCTGCATGCATGGATATACGCACACAGATATATATACAGCGGGAGTAAGGGTGTAAACCGTTGTGTCGTACCCCCCAATCACCCAGACGAGCTCACCCTCTAGCCCCCTGCACCCCGCCACCCCGCCCCCACGCAAACACACACACACGTGCCCAGGCCGAGCAGCACCTGCCGGACATGGGGCCCCGAGAGGTGTCCGGAGTGCTGTTCTCGCTGGCCTCCCTGGACTACCTGCCACCCCCCCACCTGGCAGAGAGGATGTTCGGGGCCTTCAGTGAAAGGCCCCCCCAACCCCCCCACAGTAGCACCCCGCAAACCCCTCACCTCGCGGGGGATGGAGGTGGAGGTGGAGGTGGGGGGGTAACGGCGGGGGGAGAGGGAAAGGATATCAACACCAACATCAGCACCAACACCGCCCGCAGTGTTGCCACTCACGTGTGTCAACCGCTAGGCTCCAGGACCCGGGAGCAGTCTCGGTCTTCGCATGCGCTGCAGCTGCAGATACCGGCTGTAACCCCCCAACAGCAGCAGCAACAACAGCAACAACAGCAGCAGCAGCAACAGCAACAGCAGCAGCAACAACAGCAGCAACAGCAGCAGCAGGGCGGCGGCGGGATGTGTTTGCTCGACCGGGCCAATGCACTGGATTGCGCACACGTGGTTTGGTCGGCGGGTAAGATGGGCTGGAGGATGGACGCCGGCGATGTGAGGGCGGCGTTCAGGAGGGTGCAGGTGCGCTCGTGTACGTGTGTTTTGGGGTTGTTGTGGGTTGTATGCATGTATGTATGTGTGTATGACGTTGATTACACTGTGGGTGTGTATGTATGTATGTGTGTATGTGTGTATGTATGTGTGTATGACGTTGATTACACTGTGGACTGGTTACACTGTGGGTGTGTATATACGTATGTATGTATGTACCGGAAAAACGCAAATCTCCGCATACCCCCCTTTCTGCCCCCCTTCTCCAACCCTCCCCCCTCCTCCTCCCGCCTCCTCCCCGGGGCAGTCTTGCCATCGGGACGACGGTCCCAGCGTCCGGTCCCTTTGCCTCTTCCTCAACAGCGCGACCAAGGTGGGCAGTCTGGAGCTTAATGCGGAACAGGTGTGTACGGGCGGGGCAGGTACGGCTTGGGGGAGGTGTGGGGGGAAAATGTGTTTTTGCTATCGGAGAGGGGCATTAGAGTAATCGGGGGACCCGGAGGCACTGCAGTCGGCAGTTGATTTGACGCTTTGGGTTTCGCATGATCACCACCACACGGAGAGTGTCTCCATTAAATCCCCATTTCTCCCAGTTAGAATTTTCCCCCCAAGTAATTATTTTCCCAAAATGTTAATCCCAGAGGATTCGAACCTTGGTGGTTGCAGATGATGTGGCTTGAGGAGAAGTTATGTGCTCAGGCGCCCTTGTTGAACTGTGTGGATGTGAGCAATGTCATGTCTTCTTTGGCGAGATTGACAGCAGACCCCCACCACTACTACGACTACGACTACATCAACAACATCAACAAAAACAACGACAACAACGACAACAACATCAACAACATCAACAACGATAAGGACCACCACAATTTCAACCAACAGTCTCATCATCATCATCATCATCATCAGCAGCAGCAGCAGCAGGGGGCCGTAACTCGT